ATCTCAGCTGTGATCATGTTGCAATAAGCCCATAGAGCACCTCAACTTAGTCTTATAAGATTCTACAATATACTGTACTTTTACATTCAAAGGTGTTTTTTTGTCCATTTAATTTGAGTGCAAGGTTAAGTAATTTCTTTCTACACGCATTTGTAATTCAATAGATCCAAATTAGCGAATTATTTCATAATTTACCAAAATTTACATTTCCTTGAAAACAAAATTTTGACCAGAAAAGTGAAACTTTTTTAAAATAGAAATATCTGAAATTAAAGTAGAGCTTCTTTGCAGTCTAATCTTGAATACTTTGGCTTTTTGTCACATGGGCCAAACTAAGGCTTCTTTCACTTTGAGCTAAAGCAGAGGTCACCCAGCACAGCACAATCAGACATCTTTGGTCTCAACACTTCCAATGTATTCCTTTTAGTAAGATTTAACACCTTTATTATTGAGTTCAAAAACCTATGCTGCTGGTGGAAAAGTACCGACCATTAAGGAAGTGGAGCAAAAAGTAAAGCTGATAAATGCATAAATTCAGAAAGCAGTGGCGGTTCTAGACCAAATTCACAAAATAAAAGTATGAGAAAAACATAACAGAGCAATAGTTCACAGTTTATTAAAAAAGGTGAGTCTAAAAACCAAAGTCTCTCTCACAACACTGCAGCTGAAGGTTGCAGATTGCTGCTCTAACAGATGAATGAAGCTGAAAGGACAACACCTTCCTCTTTGAATGACTGTTAAAATAACAGTTAAAAAGCAAACTGATTTAAGAATAAACAGGAATGGTTTATCATAAGATAGATTTTTTTATTATTAAAACAGGGGCCAAACCAGGGGCTAGGCCCACCTTACCAAATTTAACTACAGATAGGCCGACTTATCCTCTCCACATTTGCATAGCTGCACTTGTTCTCCATGAACACTGATCAAAACACTTTGAGAAATGATGGGGAAAACGACTGAAGAAACACTGGCATTATGTCCAGTTCCTTTTTTTACAAGTAGATGCTACAGAACCTGTTTGTCTTTAATGACTTCACATTTTGATGCTTTACACTACATTTGAAGCTCACAAATATTAGATATTAGATGAATTATACTGAACTCAAAATGTTGTCTTGATTTGTAATCTTTTTTTCTGTATACATATTTGTGTAAAGTGGTTTTGTTGGAAAAGAAAACGGGAATGGCAGGGTTTAAACAGTTATAACAGTTATAGACGGAAGAAACGGAAAGAGGACTCCCACAGATTTGTAATCTTGCAGAACCCAAGCAGTCGTAATGAAACAGAAAAATAACTTTTGTGGTAAGTCCAAACTGTAATTATGTGAGCTTTTTGGATCGGATTCCTTTGCTCCTTTCTCTCCCTCATCTCTGTTTGCATTCATGCTGCTTTGACTAAGCTTAAGCAATAACAACAAAGAAAGTTTGAAATGGCAGCACTTATCAAATAAAAACAAGCCAATTAGAAGATTGTGGTACATTTTAGGTTATATTTTCATAAAAATATATCAAACATCATAGGAATTATGTACGGAAACAACAGTACTCAGACATCCCTCATTTTTGTGGTTTCAAAGGGTTTGAAATGAAACAGGTCTCAGTCGCCTTCTTTTTAATTCAACATGTAATGAATGAAGTAACAAAGGAGAAACAATGAAAAGATTTAGACACATCTTCACTGGGAAGACCTGAATTTTCAAAAAAAAAAAATACATAAAATCTAAAGAATAAAGCCTTTTCATTAAAATAAACCACTGTAGATAATTGCATACAAATTAAAGAATATCCTTTTCTATTAAAAAAGAAGAAAAACTTAGAACATTCGGTAGTAACTGGTTGAATTTAGAACATCCATTAAAGGAAAATATGTGTATACATGCGTGATTTTGTAATGAAAAGCAGATTGAAGCTCTGATGGACCTTTAAAATATACTTTTCTATTCTAAAGTATAGAGTCACTAAAAGGAAAAAAAACTATCAAGTTTAATGAACACATTGAGAGGGACGCAAACGTATGCAGATTCAGATGTAGAAAAATAAATGTGACCCATCTTATGGTGGTTTTTAAAGCAGCAGCTGCAATGCAGGTTTTAAACTGTGGTCTATCCTTTGCAAAGAGGTTTGCTTTGCACCACGCATATAACATGTTGACGTCTGTTAACTTTCAGTCATTTTCAACCCTTTCTTCACCCTAACCCTGACATTAACCCTGAACCTAACAATTAAGTGTGCATACCGAACCCTAACCTTAAGCTAAACTCAATTCGCACCTTAGTCTTAAATCTAACAGCTATCAAAAAAGGAAATGAGTGCCAGAAAAATGGCCTCAGTTTGATGGTGAAATCGAAAAAATGGCCCTCAGTATGAAGCCAACTCAGAAGCACACACACACAGATGGAAATTTCAGTTGCTGCAAAGGAACACAGCTTTTACCTAAACAAAACGAAATGAGACAACATATTTTGTTTATGGATCTGAACATTTTATACACAACACTATTTATTGAATTTTGGTAAAATTTGATTTTAATGTGCACAACTACATATAATTCAAAGATGTATGAAAAACATAGAAAACCATCCAACAGATAAGCCACATACAGATGACAAAAATTCAATGGATCTTCTGAAAGGAATCAAGAAAAAAATGCAATATACAAAGTTTAGTTTCTTTATTTAAATTGTCGTTACTGTAAGTCTGGGAACTGAATGGCCATAGAAAGTTGAGTTTGCCCCACATCATCACATATCCTACACCATGCTTAACCTTTTAAGGGCTTTAGAAGCAATTTAGGACTAAAATTATGTAACTGGAGAAAATGAAGAAAATCGTCTACAATAATCAGGGACTCATGGTAGGTGTTCCTGCTTGTTTGAGTTTTACCAATTGAGTAAGAGACAAGGAAACAATGGCTAACAAACTATAGTGAACTGCTAATATAGCTAAGCTAGATCCACAGAAACGTGCATACACACAAGTCCAATTCTTGTTTGCATCCTTGCCACTAAAAGGGGGCATGAGAAAGGGGTTCAAATGAGCTCTATTTATATTTTTAATCATCTAGGCAATCTCAGAAGAACTGCATATCTAAAATACCAACTAATGACTACTTGGGGGAGTGTTGGCCTAGCGATTAGAGCAGTGCGCTTGTGCTCTGAGAAGGTTGCAAGTAACCGGTTCAATCCCCACAGCGGACTCTGGGTCCCTGAGCAAGACCCTTAACCCCACACTGCTCCCTGGGTGCCACACAATGGCAGCCCACTACTCCCCAAGGGGATGGGTTAAATACAGAGAGCTCATTTCTCCATTGTGAAATCAATAAAGTTTAATTTTAATTTCATTTTTTTTTTCCAACTTAAAAATCCTTTTGAAAACCAGAAGCTTATACTCTGTTTTTCTTTACTATAGCTGCAGCAAAACTGGACTGAATCAGTTGATTCATGTTTTCCACAACAGGCCAAGCGAGGGGCAGCTGGACCTTTCTTTAGGGGACAATGCAGCCAAATGTTGTATTTTTCCACTTCATAAAAGGAGGTCTGGTCTAATAAAAATGCTGATATCTATTGTAGGGCTCCTGCATAGATCGTAGCTTTTGTTTTGATCTTCAGGCTGTTTACATTGAGCATTTCATAAACCGTGTTTTTTCTTCTAACCTCTGTTACACAGGCAAAAAAAGATTAGCGGTAGAAATGTACCAAACTTAAGAGGAGCATGTGTGTGTTGTAAAATATTTTTCAGAGAGACTTAGCAATGTTTGATAAAGCTTTAAATGGCATCTTGAGTGTTTGAACTGCTGTGACGACCTGTTTTAGAAATATTAAAGCCTTCAAGTGATTTAGAAAAATAAAAATACAGATGGCAAAAAAGGGGCTAACAAGACGTGCATGGACAGGTCTAATGGGTTAAAAAGTGGGTTTTCTTCTGTATTTCTTTTGTTCTGGCATCTACAGTAAATGCTGTCAAAACAATGTTATGGGGACTTTGTTATAATAACCTCCTCCTTAAAAAAAGTTTTCATCTTTCGTGTTTTGTTTTTAGTGCCTAAATAACATGTACACCTAATGTCTACTATATATGTACAGTACCTAAGGGAAACAGAAAATCGGATATAATTAAATAAAAATTCAGTATCAGTACGTTACATTTTAGTAGTATAAGAAGATTCAGACAAGCAAATCTGTAAAAACAAATTACTGGCTACTGTGTTAGGTTTTTAGGGGTTTTCTTTTGCACTAAAATATAAAGTCATTTTAAAGAGAATGAGTTTCCTTTATTCTTTTCATTTTTTTTTTTTTTTACAGTGACATAATGCTACTGCAGTAAAACATTATAGTGTGTAAAGTTTTTTTTTGGAAATGATTACAAAAAAAACCTTAGTTGAATGCTTAACTCAGTTCTACTGTGGATATTAAATGTTCTGGCTTACCTTCTTTTTTGTTTTTCCCCACTTCTCCCTGCGGTGTCTGGCTGTTCACCTCAGCAGGCAGTCCTTACAATCACCCTCCAAACTATAAATGGCTTGTTTACGCGCTTCTCTCAGCTTAATTTCTAATATTTTTAGATTTTGTCCAATTTAATTTCCTTTTCTTCAATTTTCTTTGGACTGTGTGAGCGCAGGAGGACTGAATTTGACTGTGTTTAATATACTGTAAGGACGGTAATGATAAGTCCTCCTTAAATAATGGCAAGAAGTCAAACTTCAGGAAGCTTTTCATTTTTAAGTCGCCTGGTTTTATTGAATCAATTTATGCACAGACAGAATTTTATTTCAAAAATAGGAAAGAATCCATTCTGTACTTCTGGTAACTCACAACATTTTAACTTGCAGACTGTGTTTCAGGGGAAAAAAGCATAAAAGCTTCCACTTTGCTCGTTTCAAAACAGAATTCAGGAATGTAGATGATCGCAGACCTAAAGCAGATGGATGCATCAATCTTTTTTCATTTCAGTGTGTCACTTCGCTCAGTTTGCCTTCCGCTCCCCGCTGAGCGTCTTACCTTCTGAGATCTCGTTGTTTTCTCGTGTTACATCACTTTTTTTCCCCCCTTGAGTCTGAGCTGTTTCAGAGCCTGATCGCTGAGCTGGAAGGAAGAATACACAATGTCAAATCCTAAATCTATGTTAATGAATGGAAGGAGATCAGATAAAGTAGCAGATGAGACGAGAAAATGTCCTGGCCTAGATGCAAATGAATAAATTAAATCATATTTTACCGCTAAATAAATGTTGCAAAAAGCTCCAATATTCTTTCAAAACATCTACGACAGTTCAATATATGTACACAGAAAAAGCTACACAGAAAAAAAGATAAAAGTGAAACATAATCAAATTGTAAATGCAGCACTAACCAGCAGCTCCTTGCCAAAGGAATTCATTGACCTTGAATGGTTTGAAATATTGTTACAAAACAACAACAAACCTCCTGGCTGTTATGCTTTTTTTTCCAAGTTGGATCAACAAACAGTATTTGTATTGTAATTTGTGATCTTAAATGCAAACTATTCTATTCTTTAGAATTTTAACCTTATTCTGTGTAGTGCATTCCTTGGTTTACATGATGCTACATGGTCACATGTTCTGTAAGGATATGTACTTTGAGAACTTCATTGAACAGGTGCATTTACACTGCTATTATGGGACGTACAAGACAATTTGTTATCTTATCAGTTTCTGTTGGAGGTATTTTCCTGTTAAAGAGGAGTTTTTCCTCTCCACTGTTGCTACAAGCATGCTTAGTCTGAGGGATTGCTGAAGAGTCAATGAGTCGATGCAATCAACTGGCTTTCCTTAGATAGAAAACTTTGAATCTCAATTTATGATCTGGTTGAATTGGATGTTGTGAATTGGTGTTGTATAAATACTGAATTAAAATAAAAAATGAATTGAACTGAACATTGTAAATTTTGAATATACATACAGTATTTGAAAAGTAAAGAGTCTGAAGTAAATGCCACATTTTGTCCAAATTTATTTATTTTTTTAAACAAATGGCATTAATTCTTTTTCTTCTACTTTATAATTCTGTGATGCACTTCATTGATCACCCTAAAATCTGAATTTATTATTAAAAAATTTGTAATCAAAATGTAAAAACTAAAAATTGAAGTCTGATTACAAACCCGGGAAACCACGCAACAATTAATAGATGATTGAGCTAAGATCCTTAAATGCATAGTCATGCAATGCTGTCTGTGTACTGTTGATGAGCATTCGATTAGCCTGATTGTAAATCAAAGCTGTATAGACAGCTCTTTGCACCTGTGCTTTTATGCATGCAGAAGACAGTTTAGAAGCTCAGCATGTCCTGATTTCTGTTTTCTAGCACAGCAAGTAAATACCAGCAAATCTATGAATGTCAGTGTCTGAAACAAAGCAAACGTTTGGCTTGTTTCTGTGCATTTCTTACACCCCACAGTAATCTCAGGCATGCTGTTGTTATACCTCCACACCCTTAACCTGGCTAACATAGGAAATCAATACTTTACACATTTCCCTTCCACTTTGTACCAAGAAAATCCACAAATGCATTGCAAATCCATTCTGTTTACCCACTTGTAATTGAAATTTGAAGGTATACATCCTTCACATGAAGCAGATAAAACAGTATAAAGAGATAGGAAATCCCTCCTAGCACTTTCAGACAAACTGGAATTACTCAATAATAAACATTTCTAAGACAAGCACAAGCCTAATTATGCAAATGAGTTTTCAGTTAAATAAGCAATGCTTAATGACCTCAGTGAGCTGTCACAGCATCCCAACAATAGAGCTGGCACCTGGGACAAAACAAAGGATTGCAATATTCCATCAAGACAATAAATCTGTGCATAGGGAGGGAAAGGATGTTAGCTGCTCACAGTAAGCTGTATTTTAAATTTAGAGTCGGTCCAAACAAACTGTGAAGATCTTTAAAGGGGATGAGGAGATAATAAAGGAACATTTATAATTAGAATTGAAGAAAAAACACTCTAGAGTCATACTAACGCTTCATATCAGGTAAATTGCCTCAACGGGATTCATCAGTTAGAGGTTATGGTGACAACAAGATCATTATGACATGTGAGGTTAGGGTCACCCTTTATCCTGCAAAGTTGATTTATCAGCAACTCTTAGAGAATGTATGAAAATCACTGATGAAAATGGTGTTTATAATGGTGAAAAATAAAAGATTTTGGGGAAAAAAAAAGATAACAAAAATAGTTTTTTATTCTAGTTCATTTGCTTTAATTGACCCAATCTTAAGCAAAATGCCATTCATGACAAGAATTTCCTAAGGTAATTTATTGAAATGTTCAGTTGTACACGCAAACACACACACAGTCACTAATTACCATATTAGGTACCTGTCCAACTGCTCGTTAAGGCAAATTTTGGTCAGCCCATCAAATGGCAACAACTAAATTAATTTACGAATATACAGTAGACATCTATATATGTACATATTTTTGTAAATTTATATATTGTATGTTTATAAACACATTGCAGAGACAATCAATTTTGCTCATATTGCATTTAACAACAGTAAGGTGCTTAATTTATCCCTCCAATCCTTTTGTTGGTGGTAATATGCTTAAAGTGCGTTCGCCACAAAGATGGGAAGAGAGATGTGCAGCTAGTATGCAAATTCATGCAGGCGAGGAGAATTTTGACAAAAGATTAAGTAAAGTTCTGTAACAATGGACTCTGGATAAGCAAGCTTTCCAGGTCATGAATAAAACCTTAACCCTGTAGTAAAACATTTACACGAGTTTGGTTAGTGCAAAGGAGAATCTAAATAAAATTGCAATTGCAATATTGGTTTACAATAAACGCAATTTTTATTTTTGCATTTTTGCCAAATCGTTCAGCCCTAAATGCAGATATTTTTGGTGCATGGAGGATATCCTGAGGCAGATTTAGAGTTATCCTACAGTAAGTTTTATTACCTCCTTTATGATCTTGAAATTAAAGAGTCTGGTTGGAGACGTTATCATTACCATCCAATATCAGGAAAGTAGGAGAGGGTAACAAGGAATTAATGATTTGTTCATTTCGACTCCTCTCAAAATGTATTCTATCCATCTTGTGAATTATTTGCTCACAAACGATAAAGTATGACATTAAAGAAATTAAAACTGAGTATTTTAAAGTGTTTTAGACACTTCAGAGAGAAAAAAAAATGTGGCGAGTGGTGACTTGCTGTGCAGCTTAAACTAAGAAAACAAAGACTGTTCAACATCTCTCCCGGAGGAGGGAAATCTCTAACTTGAAACAGAACTAAGCAAAGAAATAACTGTGTTGTATTATGATGACAAGCTCCCACTGTGTGCTCCTGTCTTATTTCCTACAGTTTCAAACTGTTACGCTTACAGCTTTTGTAGCCCCGCCCTAATCAGTCAGCAGCTATTCTCCTAATAACAGCTGATGGAGAACTACTGCTGTGACTAGGGCTGCAGTTAACGATTATTTTGTTAATCGATCCATTATTTTTTGATTAGTAGACTACTAATCAAATAGCAAGAGGTTACTTAGATAATGTTTTTACAGATTTTAAACCAAGTGAAACTAAACTTTTCCTCTGAGAACTTCTAGATAAAGCATATTGACAAGAGGAGATGCGTTTTTTTTTTTTTCCTCAGTCTTGACGATTATTCTATTAATATATTGTTTCAGCTTTAGCTAGGACTACTGATTGGAGCTTCACTGAGTCACAACAGGTGAAGTTGACTATTTTTATTTTTATCTCAAGCCTTTACACTTGCCCATTCTTTCCTTGAACTTTCCATCCAGAAATTCTTAATAGCAAGATTACATAATTTATCACGTGAGTTTCAAACAAAAGCCGAATCAAGTGACCTTGCATTTTAGAAGCTGCCAGCTTCTGTCAACATAGGCCCTAATGGATGTTTGTTAAAGTCTCTTACCTTTAATGTTTCCTTGTAGAGCTTTACTCTCCTTCCCCTTGTTAACAGTGACAATCTTAAAGTTGTACTCCTTTGAGGAGTCAAAATCTCTGATGACAAGCTTTGTCTCCTGCTTTGCTAATTCCAACACCTTCTGTTGATCACCTGTTCCAGAGAGAGAAATACAAAACAGGGGGAAAAAATGAATGACCAGGAATCAAGGCAACATACATCTATCATGAGACTCATTTAAATGAAACATACCGTACAGAGCTTATGGTCGCAATATGACCAAGCTTTAAATACATTATAATTTATATGATGTTTTAAAAGGAAATAAAATCAATTCCAGCTCAGTAGAAATTTAATCCAGCTTTTCTTTGAATTTCTTAGTTCTGAATTATGCTGTAATATTACAGTTTTCACCAGAGAGCACATGAGAGAAACTACAGATCAAATTTGTCTCCAGAAGTACTACCTGAAGAATAATCTAAACAGGAAGAGCCAAATAATAACCATTACAAAATGTTATTATAGCTTTTATTATGTCTGAATATTTCTCAGTGATTATTCCTTTTATATTTAATAACATATATGTTTTATAAACAGTTTTCCTTGAGAATACTTGTTTATCTCCTTGTTACGAAGGCAAAAAAAAAAAAAAGACAGAAAGATAGAAAAATTCAAAATGACAGAACACCTCTGATACTGAAGGAACATGTTCACTCATGTCTAGAGACACCAGTTTTGAGTGAGTAAATGGCAAGGTAATATCAGGGGTCCATTTCATGAGGCAGGTTTAACAAACTCAGATTCAAATCTGCAACTCTAAATTGATCTAGCCTAATGTAATGAGTTTCCGGTTTCACAACAGGTTCTATGAATTAGTTCAACCAAGTCCAAGTTGGGGAGTGGCAGCCTCGTTTTTTAGCCCCACTCCCACGGACTGCCACTCTGGGTCCCTGAGCAACATCCTTAAAGCCCGGCGTACACTGTGCGATTTTCGGGGCGATTTTCCAGTCATGAGAGAATATTTCGATCGGCCCGACTTTCAGCCTGATCGTGGGTCGTGTAGTGTACAAGGGGTTACCTGCAGCGATCAGCCTCTCACAACCAACTCCTGATCAGGAATCGGGAGGTCAGGAGAATATCAAACATGTTTGATTTTCTCCCGACTGTCGAGGGCAAATGGCTCAGGGCGCATGCGCAAACAAGGATTATTCTTTTTTTCCTCCTCTCAGGTGTAAACACAGCAGCATGGCAGGGATGCAATGAGTTAAATGCAGTTCTGTCTGTAAAATTGACAATAATTTTATGGAGAAAACTAGTTTATTGCTTGAATGGTAGTGGATCAATGTATTCTACTTAGGTGAGATCATCTATCAGAAGGTGAAGAGAAAAAACGTTGTTCTAAAGGGTAGGACCTGTTTATCATCTCATGGGATTCCTCCCCAGTTAAATCTTAATCTTTCTTCTGTTACACAGTAAATACTAAGTGGCTGTTTGCAGCTGCTTGGGATGTTATAATCCCAATAAATGGCCATTATTAACAGTTATCAGCCCCATAGAATGGCTTCCCATTGTGATCACTAGTTACTAGTAGGCTCTGTAGGTTATTATCACTGAAATAATCCTAATTCTCTTTGTCTAACAGATAAACTTTAATTTTTAAGATGTTCCGAAAGGATAAATAATTTCCTATTCTAATTATGCAAGGCTTTCTGTTGGACTAACATACAAAAAAAAAAACATCAAATGTAGTATGAATATGCATATTGTTGCCAATTATTTACATCTTTATTCTCTGTCCTGTTTTTTAAAACTTTATTTAAAATGATTTCTTTCTTCCTTCCTAGCAAAAGTTTTACTGGCATAAACATAAATATTAGCTTAAAAAAGACAGAAAACAATAAAAAAAATATTCATGAGGACCCCTTGACATCTCTACCTGTTCAGAATGCATTCACAATCAAAATTTGACCCACTCATCCGAGAACATGACACATCCTGAATTCCAAACCTTGGTTTAGAGCAGTGAAACGAAAGGATGAAAGATATCCAAATTAATGTATGAAAATGCAAATGAGGGTGATGGCATTGAATGGTAATTTAAATCTTTTCTTCAAAAAGAAAATTATCCATATTTGATATCTTTGGTGTACACAACTTTCATTTAAACCCTTTGAGCTCGCAATTGCATCATTCATTGTTCCCGCTTTTCATTAAAATGACAGAAGATCAAATGAACAACACGCTTCTGCTTTAACTGTCTTCGGAAACTGTTTTGTGTATCGACACCTTGTAATATTTGAGATAAATTACCAAGATGAAACAGACTTTGCCGTCTCTCTTTCTGCTTCCATCCTACATCTCCTTGTTATTAAAATATCAGTTTCAGAATAAATTACTGTCTGCTGTTGCTGTTAATGTGACCACAACTTCACAGAGTTCACAGAAATTCAGTAATATCTGTGTAATTATGTAGATACAAAATCAGAACAGACACCCATAGCACCTGCTTTTTCTAACATAAAGATCTGAAAGAAAGAAAAAAGAACTTGGATAGAAAAATTGTATGCCTCAAAGAGCAATTAAACTAAAGAGCAAATTCATTACATCCTACTGAACAGGGCTTCTTTACTCTGTGTCATGTATGCTCGTACTAAATGGATATAAATCAGTCTTTGACATATCTGCACAGAGATATCAAGTCATGTCAGTGAAAGTGAGTAGATCATAACAATCCGTCTAAATAAAAATGAGTCGGCTGGGAGTAGATGGATTGCCAATTAAAGTAGAAAAAAACAGGTTAAAAAAACAACAACAAAACATCAAGATGTCCCTTTTTAGGATGCGGGGAAAACATTCTAATTTGTTCGACATCTCTTTAAAACAGAAGTGTCCAAACATTTTACTGGAAGGGATTTTCCATTTTTTTCCTTATTAAAATCAAAGCTATTTTACATTTTTAGCTGCTTTAACAATAAAGTCAGGATGCAGAATTTTAATTAAATCAATTCAGCAGTATGAACGTCTTACAGAAAGAGGACCGTAGATTCCTGTAGAAATACAAAAATAAGGAATAGACTAGTTTCTCGTATGAAAGGGAATAAATTCCTTGCCATTTACACTTTCTATCCTAACCCCATCCTAACCCATTTTTGGCAAGATCGTTCAATATTCCTTTTAGGGACAAGCACCGGATTTTCAAAAAATCTTTTAAGAGTGAATTTAACCCAGGATCTTTGAAATTAGGTGATGTTACTCATCAATACAAGGTGTGACCAGGATTTATACAGGAGTTATCTTTATCCTAAACTTCTGTTATTTTATGTATTAACTAATAGGCTGTTTCTTAATCCAAATCCCTACCATGCTTTGTTACAACAAAACAGAAGAAAAAAAAAGCAATCAAATTTATCAGGACTTCTGGCTTATTGAAATAGAGTTATTTATTTTTTTTTTTTTTCAAAAACTGTCTTATGACAAAACTCAACTGTAGTGAGGGCTGCTCCGTGGAGCAGTAGGTAGCACTGCAGCCTTGCAGCAAGAAGGTTACAGGTTTGATTCCCGGGGTCTTTCTGCATGGACTTTGCATGTTCTCCCTGTGCATGTGTGGGTTCTCTCCGGGTACTAAGGCTTCCTCCCACAGTCCAAAAACCTGACTGTTAGGTTAATTGGCTCCACTAAATTCTCCTTAGGTGTGAGTGTGTGTGTGAATGGTTGTTTGTCCTGTTTGTCTCTGTGTTGCCCTGTGATGGACTGGTGACCTGTCCAGTGTGTACCCTGCCTCTTGCCCATAGATATTGGGAGATAGGCACCAGCACACCTCGCTGGTATAAAGCGAGGTGGAATGGAAACTGCAGTGTAATAAATTAAGCAACAACTATTTACAACCTTGAAACTAAACTTTTATAATCATGGTTTGATTAGTTTTTCAATTATTCTGTGGTAAATTAGGTTAATTAGTTCAAATGAAAATGTGTTGGCCAGTTGAACCAATTTCATGCGAAGATACAACAATAAAAAATGTAACGCTAAAGTCTAGAAAAGGAATCCATTTCATTCCCTTTTTATTCTCACTTCTAAACTATCACCTTATAAGGAAAACAAACTAAATTTAGATATTTCATTTAAAATAGATGTGATCTGTGACATTTGAAAGCCCTGTGGCACTAAAACAACTTGAGGAGGGCAATGTTTGGTTCTACAACACCTGACAGCTTATTTTAGAAACAAAGATTAAACCAGGTAGAAATATGAACAAACAGGTAAATGTGAAAATGTTTACCCAGTATACAAAGAAAGTAATAACAGATAGAAATACTTATTAAATGAAAGAAATATTGACTCAACATCTAAGTCAGCAAAATTGGCTTTGCTAATAAAAAAGATGCACAAATCAGCAATTTGCAAACTGACTACAGCAAACACTTCTACTTCCTGACTTAAAGAGATTATATTTAAAACTCATTAACCAAAGAGTCCAAGAGTAACAAAGCTGATTAGTTAAGTTTCTGATTCAAGAAAATTGCCCATTCCGTCTTAGCTTCCTATGTGATTAAATTCAATTTGTCATTTAGCCGGCTGCTTGATTCAGTTGCCATAGAACAAAACATCCAAGGTGGGATCGATAACTCTCCTTGAACTGACGGCAACCAAAGCCAATTTCTCCATGAATCTTATTTCCAGCTGCTGCTCATCTAAAATGACTGACATCAAAAAGCAACTTGCTTCAGCATTATTTGAAATAAAGGTATATTTAAAAAAAATAAGGATATAAGGTAAAATATTTTTCTTAAAAATGAGGCCCTTAAATAAAATAAAAATAACTTTGACCTGAATTTCAGGAAGAAAAACTATATGATTATCATGTTTTCGTTATAATTTGATAAAACTAATTAAGCAGACCTGCTTTGATTAAAATATATTTATACACATAAATATATCATATAAATAATTGCCTCATTTATAATGAAAAAGCTAATTCATGGCATGAAACTGTCTTGCTTCTAACAATTTTACTTAAAAATTAAACTCTGCACAACAATAGGTAGGTTTTCCTCACTAATCAAGCAACACTGGTGGGTTCAGGTCTGTTTGAAAATATTTGAGAAAGTTAGAAAAGCATCAAAATAAAGATGCACAAAAAGATCAGAATAAAA